GTTTGGAGAGTACTGGGGGAGTTTGTATTTGGGACGGGGACAGGAGAAGGAGTGGGATTCCATAGACAGAAAAGATATTTCTGAGTGTGACATTTAAGCTGCCAAGTGTGGGATGAGAAGGAGCCAACCGTGTGCAAGTTGAGGAGGAGGAGGACATACCGGACAGGGTCCAACGGGTCTCACCTGCTCCTCATGTTGGTCTTCAGTCCCTGTAATGACGAGTAAGCGAGAATTGGGGGAATGATCAGCAAATCCTTGGTATTAGGATGTGTGATGAGAGCAAATGTGCAGAAGAAGTGGCTGGGGCATTTAGATACTTGATAAGTGAATGCGTGTGTTCTTCCTTATTGAAGCTAATGACAGTTTTTGAAAGTGAACTTCTTAATGGGGAAAGAGTGGGCTTATTAGAATGTGGTGTAAAGAAGCATTTTTATGCTATCTTGTCATTTTTTTTTCCTATTTGTCTTTTTTTGTGACCGGTAACGGGATCGCAACCCTCGGTGTCGCGCCCGCACCATGCTCAACCAGTGAGCGGACAGGGCTATATATGGGATCCGAACCCTTGGCGGGAGCGCCGCCGACTCCCAAGCCCCCCACTCTACCGAGTGCACCACCGGGCTGGCCCTACTGTGTCATTTTTTTAATCCATTTTTCCTATCCATAAAAATTCTACCAGAAAATACTTAAGTTTTCCAAGTCCCTGTTTACCTACGTGAAGCAGCTTCTATAGTGTTCATTTCATATTCAGCGTGACACTCTTGAAGGTTTCATATCATGCCAAGTGTCATATTATAACATTCAATAATTTTCACGATCTGAGATCTTTTAAGTGCTGAATGCTGTGTTACAGCAACTGTACTTATTAGAGAATTTTTAGTACATGCTCCTAAAAGATATCCTCTTATTTTCAGGGGGGAATGCAAAGGACAGTGAGGCAGTTTGATGTTCATTCCTTGTTGAAATACGCACATAAGTTAGTGTTTTGTCCATGAATGTGTTTCCTCTGGCTTTCCGTGGTTGGTTTCCAGTGTCATAGCCAGAAGCCAAGAAAAACTAAAGGACCTAAAGAGCATATATGATGCTCTGTGTTGAGATGTTTTGCTTTTCAATATGTGCTTTTAGCTCTGCTATGAGATGTTTTGCTTTTCAATATGTGCTTCTGTTAGTTTTAAATGTAATTGCTCTTAAAACAGGAAATTCCAGATGTTTTCTTAGAAAGTGATCAGGAAATCTTCAGGCAGCTCATTTTTGATACTAATTTTAACAGAGCATCTCTGAGAATCTTCCACAGGAGCATGCTGGTCATGTGTTTGGGACTGCAGATCAAAGAGGACAAAATGTGGTTAATGGACAAGTAGCAGGTAAGNTAGAATAATATCGTGATTTGGCACTTGAGACCTTCCCGATGAGATTTTAAATGTTTCGACCCTGAATAAACGTGCATTAGTGAACCCCAGCTATTTGCCAGACAGACACTGAGTATTCCAGATGAGTGCTTGTGCTGTAGTGGTAGGAACACAATAACAAGTAAACGACAAGCAGTCACAAGTCCCTCAAAGTGCTTTTTCTAAAGAAAACCGAACGT